ACTAATAGGCACACTAATTGGACTCCATGCATTCAAACAAGAAAGTAGCAAGGAGGATATCAGATTCACCAATCCTTATAAGAGGGGAAAATTAAATGAAGATCTCATAAATTAGTGGATATGAGTTTCATAGAACAATAAATGCAATGAGAACAAATTTGACTTTACTGGAAATGCATGTGGGACAGTGCAGAGAGTGACTTTCTTTGCTTCTGCCTCCAGCAATGAAGTCATTGAACAATAATATGATTTGGGATTCAAATTCAATGGCATCAATGTGGTTAAGTAGCATCCCTTGTGTCCAAGGCAAGTAAGCTTCTGGCATTTCTTTCTCTTTCTGCTTTCACTCTTACTAAATTAAGCTGCCATACATATTTAACTCCTCTACAGAAATGGAAGAAGCAAAAAATGTAAGAAAGGATTATTACATGCTACTTCAAAACATTTGTAGACATTCCTTACTTTTATTATAATTATTTAGCTTGTAGGAGCATCCTGGATTTGATTTGTTAGCATTTTCAGATGTACCATTGAATCCTAATGTATAAATAAATCTAACATAATGAAATTCTTGCCTTTCCCTCGAAGGAGAATTAGTCGCACTTTTTTTTCCAGTGATAGTGGTCTAATGCATCCTACTCCAATAAGGACTTAGCTTTAGGCTTTGTTTGGGAGTCATTATTTGGAGAGGAAGGAAAAGAACACGAGGGTTTGCCTTTCCTTAATTTGTGAATTTAAAAAAGGGTTTTATTAATCTTATTTGAAAGGAGATAAGTTATCTCATGTCATAGAGATAAATTTGTGGGCTCCACCACCTGAAAAAAAAAATAAAAAAAGAGAAAAAAGTGGCACAATTACCGAAGAGTGTGTAGGAGCGAAAACTTATCTTATGTAGCATGAGAATAGTTTTTTCTTTTAAAAAAATAGGGGACGAAAGGAATATTGGGGATTTTTTTGTAAAACTCTCCAAAACCATTCTCACCCTTATTACTCAACCTATAAATTAATTTTTTTTAAAAGAAGCTATAATAGTTTTTTAAAGGGAGGTACCATGATTATAATAATTTCTAAAATCTTCAAATCCAATTATTTTATTCTTTATCTCTACGTACAACCAAATTTGAGTTTCCTTTTACTCAAACCATTGAATAGTGAACTTCACACGGTTTCAAAAGTCAATGCCAATGTACTTTGTATATTGCAAGCAAATCTAAGAAAATCTCAAGCAACGTATCATACACCAAACCCATCAATGATTCCACCCTACAAATAGTCAAATAGGCGTAAACATACTTGTTACACCATATTTTCATCAATCACCTAAAACTTCTCCTACCAATTATATATCACACTATCATAATTGCCTCTCACCATGTGTTGCAATTCCCGCTGTTGTTTGACAATCTCTGCTTTTATTTTCATGATCATACTTTTTATGATCATCTTCTTCACAATCATCTCACACTCAAACCTCAAGTTCTATGTAACTGAGGCCTCTCTCACACAGTTCATGTTGGGTTTTAAACTTTAATAAATAAAGTAATTAAAAATAAGAAATGAAGGGTTTATGTTACGAAGAGGTGTGTCCCTAGGAATTTGTTAGTGGACAATTATTATGCTTAGAGTTACTAGGTAACCTTTTAATTATTTTAGTCATTTTCTATTAAATAACACTATGTAAACCATTTCAAATTGAACTTGGCATATACAGTAATAGAAAGAGGTATTGATCAGTGAAAAAGAACTCCTCGTGTGTAAATTTGTGTGTTTGAGAGAAACACCATTAGAGGACTTGTGAATTACAAATTGGTATCAGAGCTTGAACCAATGGAGAGGAACAGTCTTCCAGTGCCCCGTCTGACAAAGACGAACTATGAAAATTGGAGCATCCAAATGATAGCTCTACTAAGAGCCCATGATAGTTGGGAATTGGTGCAAGATGGGTTCGTAGAACCATAATCGATAGTAGGATATTCAACGAATCAAATCAGACAGTTGAAGGCATCAAAGACAAAGGATGCAGCGACACTTTGTATAATGTTTCAAGCTGTTGAAGAAATTGGTGGCCTTGAGAAGATAGGAGAGGCGACAACAGCAAAGGAGGCTTGGGATAGTTTGGAGACGGTTTACAAAGGAGCTGATCATGTGAAGCAGGTCAGACTTCAAACTCTACGAGGAGAGTTGGAAGGCATGAAAATGAAGGAGACCGAAGGAGTGTCAGATTTTATCACCCGGATTCAGACCGTGGTGAATCAGCTAAAGCGGAATGGAGAGGCCCTGCCAGACTCCAGAGTGGTGGAGAAGATATTGAGATCGTTGACAGACGACTTTGAAAACGTGGTGTGTGCGATTGAAGAATCTAAGGACTTGTCTACGCTCTCTGTTTATGAGCTAGCAGTTCTCTTAAGGCGCATGAACAACGCAAGAAAAAGAAGAAGGAAGAGACAATGGAGCAAGCACTCCAATCAAAAGCAAATATCAAGGAAGAAAATGCGCTCTACTCTCAGAATGCCCGAGGTAGAGGTCGTGGAAGAAATGGACGAGGGAATGGCCGAGGTGGTCGTGGCTGAGGTTAGGAGACAAGACATGAGGAGAAAGCTGAGTCTAGTCATCAAAATTGGAGAGGTAGAGGACGAGGCCGAGGTGGAAGAGGCCGATGGACAAACCAATCAAACGTGGAATGTTACAAATGTGGGAAGTATGGACATTACTCAAGAGATTGCAACTCGGACAGATGCTATAACTGTGGCCGAGTTGGGCATTTTGCTAAAGATTGTCGTGATGAGAAAAAGTTTGACGAGACTTCAAACTTCGCTGCAGAAGGAGAAGCAAGAGATGAAAGAGTTCTTATGCTAGCCCATGGTGAAACAAGTTCAAAGAATGAGACAGAGTGGTACCTGGACTATGGTGCCAGTAACCACATGTGTGCTCACAAACATTTATTTAAAGAATTAAGAACGTTGGAAGCAAAACATGTGTCTTTCGAAGATGCATCGAAGATAGATGTAAAAGGCTGAGGTACGACCTGTTTCTTGCAAAAGGACGGACAAGTTGGTACAATTCGGGACGTGTATTACGTGCCTGAGCTCAAAAGCAATATTCTTAGCATTGGACAGTTGATGGAAAAGGGCTACTCGGTTTTTATGAAAGACTGAGTTCTGCTGTTGAAAGATAAACAAGGGCGTCTGATAGCCCGAGTTCAGATGGAGAAGAATAGAATGTATAAGTTGTGCTTGAGCAGCTTGGAGGACGACTGTTTACAAGTCGGAATCAGGGATAATATGGAATTGTGGCATAAACAATTTGGACACCTTCATTATGGTGGTCTGACCGAGATGATGAAGAAGAACATGGTAGTGGGACTACCAAAGATTAACTCTGAAGGAAAATTTTGTGAGGACTGTGTATTGGGAAAACATGCGAGGAGCCCGTTCCAAAGGATGGCGAGATACCGGACTAGGCAGCCTCTTGATTTGATTCATATCGACCTGTGTGGACCCATTACTCCGGGGTCCTTCAGTGGTAAGAAGTATTTTGTAACTTTTATTGATGATTTTAGTCGAAAGACTTGGGTGTATTTTCTGAAGGAAAAATATGAGGTGCTAGAGGCATTTAAATGGTTTAAAGTAATGATAGAGAATGGTACTGGGAGGTATATCAAATCGGTCTGTTCAGACCGAGGTGGGGAGTACGTGTCGACAGCTTTCAAGAAGTATTGTGAAGAACATGGGATAAGGCGGTTCCTGACCGCACCGTACTCACCCCAACAGAATGGAGTAGCTGAGAGAAAGAACCGGACTATCCTGGATATGGCCCGATCCATGTTGAAGACAAAGAACATGCCGAAAGAGTTCTGGGGAGAGGTTGTACAATGTGCAGTGTACGTGCAGAACCGATGTGCACATTCAAGTTTGAATGACAAGACTCCGCAGGAATCATGGAGTGGTTTGAAGCCCTCAGTGGGTCACTTTAAAGTCTTTGGGAGTGTTGCGTATGCACACATACCGGATCAGTTGAGGACAAAGCTAGAAGATAAGAGCAAGAAGTTTGTGTTCATTGGTTATGACGAGAAGACTAAGGGATATAAGTTGCTGGATCCTGTCAATAGAAAAGTACTGGTTAGCCGAGATGAGAAGGTGAATGAAGAAGATGCTTGGGACTGGAGTAGTCCATCCGAGGTGAATGTTGAACCCGGGAAAATGACAATTGAGGTCGGACAACCCTCGACCCGCATTCCAGAAAATCCAAATGATTCTGATAGTGAAGAAGAGTTGAGATAACCAAGGTTGAGGAGTCTACAAGATCTGTATGATTCCACCAGTGAAGCACACTTGGTATGTTTGTTGGCAGATTCTGAAGAAGTGAGTTTTGAAGAAGCAATCCGAGATGAGAAATGGCAATCAACCATGGAGGAGGAGATTAGAGCAATAGAAAAGAACAAGACATAAGAGTTAGCTGAGCTGCCCAAAGGAAGTCGGCCCATTGGTGTGAAATGGGTGTACAAGAAGAAAAGGAACGCTAAGGGGGAGATCGAAAGATATAAAGCCCGACTGGTGGCGAAAGGGTATAAGCAGAAGGTCGGCATTGACTATGACGAGGTGTTCGCGCCCGTAGCAAGAAATGGAGACAATCAGGCGTTAATTTCTCAAGCAGCCCAGTTCGGATGGCCGATCTATCAGATGGACGTGAAGTCGGCATTCTTAAATGGAGTACTCGGCGAGGAGGTATATCTGGAACAACCTCCGGGATTCATGAAAGCCGGACAAGAAAGAAAAGTGTTGAGACGGAAGAAAGCTTTGTATGGGTTGAAGCAGGCCCCAAGAGCCTGGAACACGAGAATTGACAATTACTTCAAGAAGGATGGACTTGAACAATGTCCATATGAACACGCACTCTACGTAAATAAGAAATGAGGTAAAATTTTACTTGTTGCTCTATATGTTGATGATCTGATTTTCCTGGGTAATGATGAAGGAATGATTCAAGATTTTAAGAAGAAAATGACGAAGGAGTTCGAGATGACGGATCTCGGTCTGATGAGATACTTTCTTGGTTTGGAGGTTAGACAAGATGAATTCGGGATCTTCGTCTCTCAGGAAGCCTATGCAAAAGGAATTTTAGAGAAGTTCAAAATGAGTGTTTGCAACCCGATTTCAACCCCTATGGAACCCGACGTTAAACTTTCAAGATATGATGGAGGAGAAAAGGTAGATTCGAGTGTTTATCGTAGTCTAGTTGGAAGTCTGATGTACTTGACGTGTACGAGGCCAGATCTGTGTTTGAGTGTTGGAATAATAAGCCGTTTTATGGAAGAGCCAAAGTATACTCATTGGAAGGCGACAAAGAGAATTCTAAGATATGTGAAAGGAACAATTTCTCAAGGACTTCTTTACTCGAAGTCGGACAAGTACAAGCTGACAGGCTACTCGGATAGTGATTGGTGCGGAGATGGGGATGACAAAAAGAGCACGGCCGGCTATGTATTTTTTATGGGGAATACGGCGTTTACTTGGGTATCGAAGAAGGAACCCATTGTAACTCTATCTACATGCGAAGCCGAGTACGTAGCTGCTTCGTGGTGAGTGTGTCATGCAATTTGGCTGAGAAATTTATTGAGCAAGTTGGAGCAAGAGCAAGTCGGTTCAACTGAGATCCGGGTTGACAACAAATCAGCGATCGAGTTAGCAAAGAACCCGGTCAACCATGAAAGAAGCAAGCATATTGATGTCAGATTCCATTTCATCCGGGATCAGGTCAAAGAAGGAAAGGTGGAGCTCAGTCATGTGGCAAGCCGAGGTCAAGTTGGAGATATTTTCACGAAACCCCTGCCGACGTTGTTGTTTGAGAATTGCAAGAAGAAGATGGGAATGAAAGACAGTAGAGATATTAATGTTTAAGGGAGAGTTTTGTTAGGTTTAAACTTTAATAAATAAAGTAATTAAAAAAATAGGAAATGAAGGGTTTATGTTATGAAGAGGTATGTCCCTAGGAATTTGTTAGTGGACAATTATTTAATGTTAGAGTTACTAGGTAACCTTTTAATTGTTTTACTCATTTGCTATTGCTTATAAATAACACTATGTAAACCATTTGAAGAGTGACTTGGCATATACAGTAATAGAAAGAGGTATTGATCAGTGAAAAAGAACTCCTCGTGTGTAAATTTGTGTGTTTGAGTGTTTGAGGGAAACACCATTAGAGGACTTGTGAATTACAGATATGGCTATATGCATATAATAAAATCAACTGCTCATGTTATGTATGACTTGGATTTGTTCATGTTTAATTTTATTTCAGTTCTTCTAGTTCTGGTTCTTGTGCTTGATAGCTATGTTTAGAGGACAAGCCTTATACAACGATGAATCGTTTTCAAAGGTGGAGGAACATTTGATGTTGACATTGATTTATTGCTTTTGCAAAGTCAAAAATTGAAATAATTAATTTCTTTGCATTTGGAGTTTTTTATTTTATTTTAAATGAATTCTTTTCAATTTTTTAATAAACTATTGTTTCATTTTCGTCAACAATATAGAGAACCCTCCACACGATAAGGATCAAATTGTTTATTGTTTATTATAAAAGTAAAACTGAATAGCCACCCTTATTGATAATTTATTCTTTTGTATATATAAAACACTACTTAAGTTGTTTCTTGTTGACAATTTTAACTTCCACATATTGTCCACTGAGGACAATATCCTCTTGGAGAACAAGCTTTAAATGATGCAATGCTAATTGTTTCAAATTGAACATTTTCCATAGCTATTTTATTTTCTGGGAAAGTAGAAAGACTCAATGGATACTTCTGTTAAGTCAGGTGGGTTGTCCTGTTCCTGATGGGAGAAAAAAAAGGCTAAAATTTGTCTTGAACAGATAAGTTTTGTTCTGCAAATCATTAGCATTAATTTGATATGTTACTATATATAGGTTTTGTTATTGCTTTGTCTTGAGGGGAGAAAAAAACGCTAAAACTCATGACTATTTGATTATTATTTTATCCCAAAAACTTAAGCTATTAAGTGAAGGTTACATTAATAATTTTATATTATATTTATTTAATAAGATGTATTTTCCTTTTTCCAAAGAAAGTGAGTACTCATAATTATAATAATTTCTAAAATCATCAAATATTACACTTTATACTTTATCCGTAAAACCAAATTAAAGTATTCTTTATACTTAGTCAATGCATATGCAGTATGTATAATGCAAGGAAATATGCTAGAAAAGCTCAAGCAAACATACCATACAACATACCCATCAATGTGTGCACACTACAAATAGCTAGGCATAAACATGTAGCACCATATTTCATCAATCACCTATAGCTTCGCCTACCAATCACTACTATCACAAATCAGCCTCTCACCATGTGTTTCAGGCCCTGCTGCAGCATCCACTGCATCTGCAACATAGGTTGGTCAATCTATTTCCTTTGGCTCATGATTATCATTTTTTTTCCAGATATCTCCCCTTCACAGGTCAAGTTCTCTATGACTGAGGCCTCCCTCATGCAGTTCAACCTCACCATTGTTGAACAAATAAACTTGATTTAGGTCCATTGGGTTTAGTTGTTAAATAGCCCAATACTAGAAATATCCAAGAGATGTTCAACCCAAAATCTAGAATATTAGATATCTCCATGAAAATATCTAGAGAATAGTTGTATCTAGAAACCACCATCATAAGTATCTAGGCTAAGACATTGTGAGAATTCTAGAGAATGATTTGTAACCCTTAGATTAAATTGTGTTGGCACAATTTTAGCCATTGGTTAAAGAGGTGCCACTAGTATAAATAGGAGTCATCTCCACCATTTTGTATGAAGTCAAAAGAAAAAGAGTTGAGTACAAATAAAATATTCTCTTCCTCCAAATCTTTCAAAACTTTTCCTTTTCTCAAATTTCCTCCTTCCAACAAAGTGGCTTCAGAGCTTTAAGGTCCTTATAGAGAGATGGCAAGTAGCGGCATGGTTCCTTTTCAAGTTCCTATGCTTAACAAGAGCAACTATGATAATTGGAGCAAGAAGATGAAGGCTTTCATTGGATCCCAAGATGTGTGGAAAGTGGTTGAGAAAGCCTACAACGAGCCACAAGAGGAGATTACTCTATCCCAACCTCAAAGGGATAGCTTGAGGGATTCAAGAAAGAGAGACAAGAAAGCTCTCTATCTCATCTATCAAGGAGTAGATAATAATGCCTTTGAGACAATTTCGAAGGCCAAAACTGCCAAGGAAGCATAGCAGAAGCTAAGAACCTTTTACGAAGGTGTCGAGCCAGTCAAGAAGTTGCGTTGCCAAACTCTTAGAGGTGAGTTTGAAACTTTGCACATGAACGATGCAAAAACTATCTTCGACTATTTTTCTAGAGTTTTGTCGATATCTAATCAATTAAAAAGAAATAGTGAAAAGATGGATGATGTGAGAAATATGGAGAAGATTATTCGATTATTAGATTCAAAGTTCGATCTTATTGTCACTGTCATAAAAGTAACAAAAGATTTGGAAGCTATGACAATAGAGCAACTCATGGGCTCTATAATAGCATATGAAGAGAAGCCAAAAAAAAAAAGAACTAATGGGTTGGTGAACAACTACTCAAGATGCAACTTAACTACAAAGAAAAAGAAGACGACTTTGGCAACACAAGAGGACGAGGAGGATATTGTAGTTGAGGAAGAGGTCGTGGATGTGGAAGAGTATGCTTCAACAACAACTATGCCAACAAAGATCGAAGAAAGAGCTCAACAAGAGGTCATGAAAGAGGTAGCTCCCAACCAAGGTGTGACAAGTCGCAAATCAAGTGCTACAACTGTCAAAAGTTTGGCCATTATGCTTCTGAATTAGAGTCCTTACAAGAAGGATTGAGGAGAAGACAACCTATGTGGAAGATAGGAGTCACGAAGATGGTACTCTGTTGATGGTACACAACGACAATGAGGAGAACAAGAGAATACATGGTATCTAGACTCGGGGGAAAGCAATCATATGTGTGGAAAGAGAAACATGTTCATGGAACTTGATGAATCGGTGAATGGAAATGTTGTTCGGAGATGAATCAAAGACACTGGTGAGCAGCAAAGGTAAAATTCTTATCCAATTAAAGGACATAAGGCACAAATTCATTTCTAATGTGTACTATGTGCCCTACATGAAGAATAATATTTTGAGTTTGGGACAACTTTTAGAGAAAGGGTATGACGTTCACTTAAAGAATAATACTCTTTCTTTAAGAGACAATCAAAATAACTTGATTGCTAAAGTGCTTATGTCAAGAAATAGAATATTTCTACTAAACATTCAACATGACATTGCAAAGTGTCTCAAAGCCCGTTACAAGGATGCATCTTGGTTGTGGCATCTGCAAATCAGACACCTCAACTTTGGTTATCTTGAGCTGCTATATTAGAAGAAGATGGTGAGAGGATTGTCTTCCACCAGTCAACTTAACCAGCTATATGAAGGATGTTTACTTGGGAAGCAATGTCGAAAAATCTTTCCAAAGGAGTCTTCATCAAGAGCCAATAAGCCTCTCGAGCTTATACATATAAATGTTTGTAGACCATAAAAGCCAAGCTCACTCGATAAGAGTAATTACTTTCTTCTCTTCATAGATGACTTCTCAAGGAAGACATGGGTGTATTTACGAAAGCAAAAAATCAAAGGTGTTTCGAGTCTTTAAGAAGTTCAAGGCCAGTGTAGAGGAAGAAAGTGGATTCCAAATTAAAGCAATGAGATCCGATAGAGGTGGAGAGTTTCACTTCTAAAGAATTTCTAGAGTTTTGTGATCATAATGGAATTCGTCGGCCTTTAACCGTTCCTAGAAGACCACAACAAAATGGAGTAGTCGAAAGGAAGAATAGAATAATTCTCGACATGGCAAGAAACATGCTCAAGAGTAAAAAGATGCCAAAGGAGTTCTGGGCTGAAGTTGTGGCAACTGATGTCTACCTCTCTAATCTAATCGCTGGGTTGAAGTTGTGGCAATTGATGTCTACTGTTGGGAGTTGTTCCTCCATCAATGCTTGGCTCAAGTACCAAGAGGTTGGAACTCTCCATTTTTGGTGCAAGGCTCAAGGGTCATAACCTTTGAGTGGTTCAATGTCTCTCCATAAATGATGGTGAGAGGCTCAAGGGTCATTAATGAAGGTGCAAGGCTCATTAATGAAGGTGCAAGGCTCAAGGCACACACCCTTTGAGTGGTTCAATGTCTAGAACCATCTCCCTCCCATATATAAGCATGTAGTGTGTGAGGTTGAGAGAGTGAGAAAAAATATGAGAAAAAGAATCTGAATACCTCTAGAGAGAAGTTTCAGTGAGACCTTTTTAGGGACGTTTGATATTACCACCATACATGGTGAAGTTTGATTGTACCTCTAGTGAAAGGCTAGGGATGTTTGATTGTTGTAACCTATTATTCTTATAGTGGAAGTTTGATTCTGGACTAGTGTCCCGTGAGTTTTTACTTCTTCACATTGGAGAAAGTTTTCCCACGTTAAACAAATTGCTTGTGTTCTTCTCCATCTCTCTCTTCTTTTATTTTACTGTTTCGCTTCCGCAATTGACTTGAGGGTCCAATTTGAC